GTGCCCACGAGAGATAATTAGGTCCAAACAATTTAAAAGCTGCTGTCCACCAGCACGTGCACATCTGCTCCCGTAAAATTTCTATTATACAGCACCAATCAAACTTACGGAGATCAACGCAGCGTGTATGGAAGACTTGGCTTTGTCGTATTGAACTATGTGGTTTTACGGACACTAAACGGGCGTGAGACATGGCGTAATGAGCGACTGCGAACTATTTCGATCCCTTGAGGTGTGCGCGAAGCTCGCCCTTATCGAAACACGATTTAATCCGACGACATAGTGTTTCCAGTTGCAACATCATGTCCGATACGCGACAACAGTGGGTGATTGATGTATCGTTTACAGCAAGTCCAAGAGCGCTGCGTATTCTTACGAGTGTGAATTCTGTCGTTGAGAAAAGAAAATATTCTTAACTTTCGCTGCGCCAGGAAGCTGGAAAATAATCGCATCGTTAGCTACACGAGCAGTTTGAAACACCCTTCACCACGCATGATCTGCCAATAAAAAAAAAACAAAAGAAAACGGAAAGAATAGAATTCCCTGGCACACGCGGAAAAAGTTTCACCCCGAAACGTTACGCAATGCCATGGCCGATGACATAAAAAAAGCACTTTTTGCAGTTCACTTTCGAGCCATAGCCTGTGCACTTACTTCACAAAAAGCAAGCATACGCGCCCCTTCCTTCATGCCCAAAATCAACAAGCCGGCCGGTGCACACCTGCAATCTGGGTGATGCTCTTTTGGCCAGGGTGGTTTGAGCCACAGCAGCCGTTGCATCTGCCAGGGAGGCTCCTTGAACATCGGGAAGATTGATTTGATTCGTGGGGTTTAACGTCCCAAAACCGCCATATGATTATGAGAGACGCCGTGGTGGAGGGCTCCGGAAATTTCGACCAACTGGGGTTCTTTAACGTGCACCCAAATCTGGGCACATGGGCCTACAACATTTCCACTTCCATCGGAAATGCAGCCGCCAAAGCCGGGATTTGAACCCGCGACCTGCGGTTCAGCGGCCGAGTACCTTAGCCACTAGACCACCGCGGCGGGGTACATCGGTAAGACCAGCGTCGTTTAAGTAGGGGGTGAACGAAGGCAATTGTACATTACAGTGGTAGCATGAAATACAATGTAAAGGACACACCTTGAGGTCATGCGTAAATATGGAACGTTAATTATGCATCAGGGCCCCGCCGCGGTGGTCTAGTGGCTAAGGTACTCGGCTGCTGACCCGCAGGTCGCGGGTTCGATTCCCGGCTGCGGCGGCTGCATTTCCGATGGAGGCGGAAATGTTGTAGGCCTGTGTGCTCAGATTTGGGTGCACGTTAAAGAACCCCAGGTGGTCGAAATTTCCGGAGCCCTCCACTACGGCGTCTCTCATAATCATATGGTGGTTTTGGGACGTTAAACCCCACAGATCAATTATGCATCAGGTGATAGGTTGCGTGAAAACGGTTGCGTGAAAGCACACATATTTGCAACCGCTAAGAAATTGTTTTCATTACCTTCACCATTCGGGGATCTCATTGCCACTGCAACAGTGGGAACAGCCGTACACATGAGCCGTGTTTTGGCAGGGTTTGCGAAGGCACTTTCGGCAACGTGGTCGGAGCTGAGGTGGTAGCCGTTGTACGTTTATTTGCGCTCGTGTGCGCCCTTCGAGTTCTACCATTTTGGTGTATTTCCGCCATACGTCACACCTATAAAATGCAACCAATGATAACATGTTTATAAAAAAACATGTAAAACCGACAAAAATATAGAAAGTGCGAAAAAAGGCGAAAAAAACGTTCCACAGCTTCAAAAGCAAAGCGCGGCTCGACCTTAGCGCAGGTAACACGAACTTCTCGTAACACGGAGTGCAAGCAGTCACTGCTACGTAAATAAATTTGGGCGTTCTATTTTAAACGTTGAAATGTGGTAATGTCTCTACAAGCAACTGGTTTTCAGAATGCTCAAAAGACGAACCAATTCGCCGAAAAAGCACATTCGGCAAACACTCTTTGCAAGATTTATTCTCGAAGAAAAAAATATTACGAGCTACCGCTTACATTACCGATACCTAAGGGAAATTTCTGTCTGCACGTCAGCTGGCATCAATCGGCTCACGATGAACTGCCCACAAGAGCTTTACATGCTTACAACATCACTGACAAATGTGTAGTACCAATAATAACAAAAGGAGTTCACAGCAAAGCAACAATGGATATATTTCGGTTCACCCTGTAGCTGTTTTGATAATGACAGGGTTTGCTTCTTCGTACCTAACAAAAAGTGCATGTGCTTACCTGTCGTCCTCTGGGAAGCGTAAAAGTTTCGCTGCGCTGTTTCTCCCTGAGTTGGTGCACCACAAAGCATCGCAGCACGCCTTGTGTCCTTTTCCTACTTTTGCCGACATTTATAGCGCATTCGCGCTCACAAACACCAGAAGTTTTAACTTTAAAGCATTCTCACAACTTTCTCACGTGCGCAGGGAAATCGGCAGGAGCAGACGAGCGGAATGGCAGCACAAGAAATAAGCAGAAATAACAGCGAAGGCACCGCCCATCGACGCAACAAATGCAGGGTCTAAATTAATATATAGGGTGTTAAAAAATACAACAGCCAAGAACACATTTTATTTCTCCACATAATTGCGTAACTTTGCCTTATTGATGCGAAGGTTGGAAAGAAAAGGCCACACATGCAACAGTCGCTGAATTTTTGTTTCTTACCAAAACAATTTCGGACGCCTTATTTCGAATACCGAAACTAGTCGAAGTGTCCGGCCCCTGTCGCCGTTGTGAGGCGAGACATGCAGGAAGCGTAAGAGAGGAGCGGCACGCAGAGACGGGCATGCACAAAGGGTTTTGAAACACTGTGGGAGGGAGGGCTAGGGAAAGAGAGAGGGGGTGAACGTGGACTAGCAGACGCTGCTTACGTCAGCGTTGCGTGGCGAGAGAGAGGGGAGGAGTGTAAAGAGGAGATTGAGAGATAGGGGCATGTGCAGTGGAGTGCAGACGCCACTGAATTAAGCTCGCTCATGAGATGCATCGAATACAAAAGGCGTTCATAGTAATTGACCTCCAAGTCAACGATGCGAGACTTGCGAAATTCGTGGTGCTGGTCATTCATTACGTTGTGTTCCCTGTGTTCAGCGACGTTAACCGTTCTCTATAACTTGTAGACGTCATTATTATATTGCCACAGGCCCTTGTGGAATGCTTCCCGTACGAGTGAAACGTCAAACTCAGCACGTGGTATGAGTAAACCTGCTCATGCGCTTTCCCTTCGGCCACCCTGTTTTTCCGGCATGGAAAGATGCAGGTGCCAGCAATCCACTTTAATAAAAGGCATGTTCATACAGTTTTTCATGGAGAATTCCAAGGCTTCCTTCAAGCTTTGGTGATGGCCTGACCCTCCCCACAAGGAGTCGGCACGTCTTACGAAATTCCTACCCACGATTTTCCCAAACAAAAGCGATTCCACCCGTGCTTTCTCTGTCCATGCCATGTAGGCAGACCGCAGTTTCGCGCTGCGACGGACAGAATTTGCAGGGGCGAGCTTTGTGAATATCGCACCCATAAATTTAAAAAAAAAGTAACGGGACAATACACGTTAACGAAAAATGATAACCTAAGTAGGTTACCTATTGCAGTAAAGAAACTGTAACGAGTACGTTACTAAATTACCAAAAGAAGTTACGCATTATTGGTAACGGCGTTACTTGCAACACGTTGCCTACAACCCTGGTGTCGAATAATGACGTTGCATTTTTTATTTCAAAAATCATTTTGCGTGATGATAGAAACACCTTATTAAATGTGCAGACATATTGTAAAACCAAAGCTGCAAAATGCAATTCGTCTGTGGCGCCAGCTGCTTACGGACTGTAGGGGATAACTGTGCTGTATAAAACACCACAGAGATTTCTTTGCGGGCGCACCACGTCGACATCAATAACCAAGTTAGCCAAAGGTCTGCCTTCTTAAGCGATAAAACATTTAATGACATGCTCTCCTTTGCGTTGATGGCACCTTCTTCCTTCCGGCTGTGTTCGTCGCTGTGTTTTTTGTTTTTTTTCTACGCTGGAAACTACACTTTACCTACTTAGCGAACTGAGCACTTGATAAGACAGATGCTTGGACAAGTTGGTGATTGGGAATCAACATATTTGCACAGTGCAAGACCACGAGTATTTACGACGCAACTACAGAAGAAGAGACAAGGACAGAAATAGCGCTGACTTCAAATGAAATTTTGTTAGCGAAAACGCTGGAAATATATTCGTGACAGAACATCCCCGCGCGATTGAACATCCTATTGCATCACAGCAAGACAATCATCATCTCATTATATGGTTACGACGCCACAGTTAAGCACAAATTCACGATCTATTGTGTCGAAGCCAGGAAATCGCGCAGTGCTGCCAAAAAAAAAAAAAAATCGAGTTTCCAGCGTTTTCGCTAATAAAATTTCAGTTGAAGTAAGCGCTCTTTCTGTCCTTGTCTTTTCTTTTGTAGTTACGTCGCAAATACTCGTAGTCTTGCACTGTGCAAATATGTTGAACTGTGCGCACTCATTTTTCGCGAATGAACCGGTTCAGTTGTCAGCTCTATGCTATTGGTGATACGTTGGTCAAACTTGTTTGCTGAGTCGAGATCTTGGGGTCAACAGATGACAAAGGCATGTATACTTAGTGAACGATAACTGATCACTCTCACCGCTCTCGAATGATAAGCTGGCCCGAGCTATGACAAATACATCCCGCGGGTTTTGCGAGGTCTGTATAGCGCGAATAGTGCGTCACCAGTGCGTGCGTTGAACAGTATTGTTCTTCCTCAGAAACTGGCCGCGAGTTGAGCCGGCGCGAAACATGGGACTGCGCGAAGGAAAACTGGTCAAAGAAAAGAAAAAAAGGAAAAAAAAGCGTCGTGCCGTCGTCGGTGAGGGAAAACGAGGTCACGTAAGCACGAAGAAAAGAGCGCGCTCGCAGCGCCACCCCACCGCCGCCGCCTGTATCGAGCGGGCCGGCAAGCGTCGGCGTGTGCGTAGTTGGAACTGTTTCCACAGAGCGCGGGATAGTGTGACTTCACACTCGTAACAATGAAAACTGGTTGTTGCGAATCCTGCTAGGTGCACCGAACGTGCTCGGACTCGTGCACCGCTCGTAGGTTGGAACCGCACTGACACAAGGAAGCAACAGGTGAGTTATTCTTCTGCACCGCGCAACTGGGGCACCTTTCCCACGGTTTGAAAACAGCTGCTGCAATCACATGACACCCGCTTGAGTCGCACTATTACTTGCCGTGACGGTTTATTCGAGACGATGAGAAGCTGAGCTAAATACTCGGACCGTGCGACCGTTGTTTGGCATCACGCTTATGTTTTCTGTGCAGTTCGACAGGACGCAGCCTTCCAATACGAATGAAGGCATTTTAGTATCTCTAAAACACGCACAACACGCGAACATGAGAGGACGTGCGTGAAAAACCGCCGTGATTTCTCCGTCTCAGCGTTTCACAAACCATGCCAATTGAGCTTCGCGCTTTGACGACGGGCACAACAGTGCCTCGAGGCGTGCGGGACTTCCCACGGTTGCCGCCAACGACGAGCGAAAACAAGAGCGCTTTCTAAAATCTAGCGTTGGATGCATTTTCCCGTCAACTAGCCTCCAATGCAGTTCTTGTTCTGCGAACGCCGTTGGCAAGGCAACAGTATGAATGGACACAACGACTGGTCGAACGCGTTGTTTCTTTTTATGGATATGCGTATTTAAATGATGTTACGGACACCGTCCCAGAGCGTTTGGCTGTCGCCGATTACTGTCTGCGAATGGGGCGACAACAGCGTAAAGGGGCGTGGTGCTCTTTCACAGTCGAACTCAATCATTTGCCGAGCTCAATAGAATCGAGACGTGCGAGTCCACGAAAGATCGCCTTGCTCAGGTTCCCGAGAAAGCGGTCAATCGATCTGGCATGTCGCAATTATCGGTAGCCCCGTCTAATACAACGAGCCCTTTGAAATAAACGAGTTACAGCCCTGCATAAAGGAACTCCCGCAGAGGTGAAAAAAATAAAACTGTCTGAATACTACGGCAATGGCTTGTTGACAAGATGTGGTTTACCTTCGTACAATACGGCTACTTGCGGCGAATACATGGAGGGTGAGCGAAAAGAAAAATGAGCCGAAAAGCACAAACGTTTAATCCGACGTGTTATGACCAGAAATATGAGCTGCCACAACAGATGCAGCGCACTGCAAGTGCACAAAAGTGCAATGAATAGTTATGCTATTTTAATCCCGCATGAGTAAAACAAAATTTATAAATAAGCTACGCATGTTGTAAACGGTCATTGTGAAAGCCTAATAATATAAAGTGAACAATAATTTGTAACATTAAAAAGCCAGAGTGGTAAACGATGCGAAACAAGCTTCAATTTCTACACTGACGTCATACAAGGAAAACGATCGGCATATCGCACGTACCATAGGAATTGATGGTATGCGGTGGGAAGGTGGGTGTGGTGTCTTTTTTTGTTGTTGTTTCATGAAACGGTGCTACTCATATGTATAAATAATATGCTCACTGGCATGTATATTGAACAGTCAAATGTATTTTATATAACCAGTTGTTTACAACTGCGTCACTATTGCAAAGCAACAGGGGTGTTGCCAACACTATAGAAGCTGCAATGTGTATTATAGTGTTCACGTGGATGGCAGCTTTGGATAGTGCTAAGTAGACCAAATTCAGTGGATGGCGCTGAAGTACAGTTGAGGCTTATATCATCAGAGCACATATGTAATGTTTATAAGATTAGATTGGCAGCACTGCAACAAAAATTGATGCTTAACAAACTAGTAAAAATTAGGGGACCCTAAAGCTTCGTCTATAGGAGTCGAACGTGATAGCGATGGTGCGTACTTCAAACAGTTAGTACATAGAACATTTTTCAAACTTGCTATGCACCCACTACATGACCTTAATGAAATAGGCACGGTAACGCGGGTGAACTTTGTAGTGGTTGACTAGCTTTAATCCCTGAGCCATTATGATAGTCACATGTTCTTACACCCGCTCGTAATGGGTGCTTGCACCACGCATTATGAGGGCAATATTTCATGTTGAACTGTGAAGCTTTTATACAGGATGCGTGTGTTTCTAAAGCATGAAAGCTGCGTTCAATGCATTTTCAAGCAGATCAAGTTCTTTTCACTGCAGGAGCGTAGTCAGAATTTTTTGGGGGGAGGGGGGGTCACACTGATCTTACAAGAGGGGGGGGGGGGGGGCATGCATCAGATGTTCTTTGTTACGTGACTACCGGCGCTTGTTTGAGCAGATTGTGTACATCTATATTGAAACCATGAGACTCTCCTATACTTATGCTTGAGAATAGAGTAAGTAAAGTAATCACAGTAAAATACAGTGAACGTCAGGTATAGTTACCGTTTGAAGCAATGGTGTCTTGTTGCCCTATTAATCGGAATAGTCTTCGAAAAGACATAGATGCGACGACCCACCCGATCGGAAAAGACATCGTTAATCAATAATCTCTGTTGAGCGTAAATGACGATGACTTTGTCCTCGTCGGGGCGAAGTGAGTTTCACATTGCAAGTCGGGAACGGCTCCGGCTTACAACGAGGAATGAGAGGTGCACGCAGCATGTTTTTGCATATTCCTAATTACATTTCAGTCTTGTTTACATTGCTAAGCGAATAATGTTTTACTGGCGATGTTTTTGACTGCATGCCTACGGGAATGATTTTGATGTTGAGCTCTATATGTCAAGTAGCCCTGACGCAGTGATAGCTTTCAGTCATCATTTTTCTTTACTTTACTGGGTGCATCCAAGCATGCTTGTGATACCCAATAAGCAATTTTTTTTTGTAAGTTACGCTGTACGTTGGCAACACAATTTCGTACGCGTTATTTTTCGTGCAGACTTTTTCGCAACCTTGGTTGACATCATAGTCACACTGTGACTGTTCATAGCAATGAAGTACTCAAATCGTAAAGGCCTTATCGTGCAATCTGTGAGGGCAACGTAATCATTGTCGAAAAATGTTTACTTGGTCTCAGTCGAAAATGCGCCTGGGACCAGACTATAGCTTCTCACATATAAACTGCTTGCTCACTGTGTATATGCGCTAGAAAACTTAAATACGTGCGAAAACGCGTAATGCTCTCGGTTTTTTTTATTCTTAGATTTCGTTGCTGTGCTCCCTGAAAAGATAGCGTTGCGTCTTCCGTTGTTTGCAAGCGGGCAGCCGTCATTTTCCTTTACGTCCATAGATTCAGAAGTGTACAAGATATCTCACCGCGCAGCGTGAATATTCCATGTATAAACGAGAGCACGCCCATCTCGCACCCAGGCGCCTTTGGCGGTATACTCTCGCTCCTAGAGACGCCATAGTTTGTTTTGAACTGCCAAGGCGCGCCTCGCTAGCATGGCACGCAGTGGCTCTGGGAGATCAAAATGGGAAAAAAACGCCTGTTCGCGCTGCGCCCACTAATAAAATGTCATCTGGGCACCACTGCGCTGTAATCTGATGCGACAACGACTAGCGCAAAAGAAAAAGATTGCTGAGCATTGCCTGTGGAGTTCACAGCATCGCAGGAATCGCGCTGGTGCGGTGTTTCGCGATTGCATAGATTTCCGTCCACAAAGAAAAATGCTAAGGTTCACTGCTTTTTGATATAATCGCAATCAGCAGGAAAAACTACGAGCCCAGTAAAGTGTACAAGTAAGTATACTTATTTCGTTTATACAAGTGTGACGCCAGCTGTTCCACCTTATAGCAGTGATTTGCGGGCAGTATGCTTGTAGTATGCGGCACAAAATCATTGCCGTACTCTTTCGCAGGGCGCATGTCAATAATAGGATATACGCATTACTACTTACGCGTGGATGCACGCACCGCACATGTTTAGTACAACTGTAACAGTTTGCTATCCCAATGCAAACAGACGTGTACGGCGCATAAAGCATGGCTTTTGACTCAGTAGAGCTGCGACATGCCTTGACTGTCACTAGGCTAAATCTACTTGTGCTTCCGGCCGTCGGCGTCACCGTAGCATTCTAATATCTTGTTCTAGCTGGCATTTTGCACCGCCTGTGTGTTCCGAGTGCCCGCACAATTGATAAAGACATGCGGTGCATGAGCGTAAGTTGGAGCCAGATTCTAGTCTTACGTTGACACCTACTTACAGCACAAATTCTTCCTTGTCACAGCCAAGGCACGCCGCAGTTCTACTAGGTCGAAAGCAACGCTTTCTGTTGTACGCATTTCTTTCAGTCGGATAAGATGCACCTGATAAAGTTGCTTCCGCAGTCTGCAATGCACGTGCTGGAGACATGCGAGACTGTCGAGGATTGACGTTTCACACGAAATCAGCATAAAATTCCTGCAGAGGAACAGCGCGAAACATGGTTACACCCTGGCTAGTATTGTGAAGTTTCGTGTCTGATTTTCAAAGCGTCTGCTTGCATGGCAGTGCATAGTGTTTCTTCGCCGCGCTTGAAACAGATGGCGCCACGTGCTTTTCAATATGGCAGCAATCACTGAGCTCGCTCTGTTCTGGTGTATAGATGGTTTCGGCAGAGCCTGTCGGTCTTTTGCAACATGAGGCGTTCACTGGAAAACCACCCCTGGAAACTTCTGATTTAGCTTGTTTTTGCACTGTTTCAGCGTTAGTTGCTGGCCGCGGCTGCTTGTGTTTCGATATTTTAAGCGGTAAAATTATTACTGTGAAGCGCTGGCAACTCGAGCATAACTGTGTCATGCCTGGATGCAGTGTAAATGCCTAAAATAACTTTATATGCTAGTGAAAATGTTCTGTTTTCCGCCCGATGATTATAGAAAGAGCGCCTGCATTGCAGCGATCACAAGAGAAAATTATATTCCCACTAAGGGCGCGTAGTGTTGTTCTGCCCACTTCATCAAATGCAATGTAACGCTCAGCGCTGAGTGATGGCACAGAGGCGATACTCAGACGTTAAACTATTGTCGAAGGCCCTCAGTTAAGGTGCGTTAACATTAGAGAGACACGACACCAATTTCGGCCAGTGGGCTCTCTTTAGGAGTGTCTTTCCTCTTGTCGTCTGCCTATGTACACTGCAGACACAAGCAGTTCGCTGGTGGCCTCTCGAAGGCCCCGCCCGCGTCTTGTCATGCTCACGGTCTTTTGTTGGCCAATGCCA